ACAAAGGGGAAGGCAATGTTGATAAAGGAAGTCCAAAACCCAGGTAGAAGCCCTCAATGAAGAACACAAGAACAGCGCAGCCGCAGGGAGGCGCCAGGCGCCAGCAGCAGCCGATCTGGTAATCGGGGATGTCGGCGTCGTAGTGGCAGCGGAGTGGGGCTTTTCAACCCCGGAGCCTGGAGCCAGACTGGCTCCGCTACCAGTGTCGGTAGCAGTGGGGGACCTCAGGGTCCCATGCGCCAGCAAAGTCCAAGGCAGCCGCAATGCCGCCTCCAAGCTTTTCAGCGCGCAGCCATGGGATGAACGGGTTCATCGAAAGTGAAAGGCCATATGGATCCGGTCCAAGCCAAGAGCCAGGAGGTGGCAAACAGAGTCAGGTGCCTGAACAAACCAACGACAAAGAGACTATAGAAGTTCAGAACCAATGTCGCTGACAGTGCCCAAGCTTTCGTTGCGCGGCACAGGTGAAGATCGTCCTCCTCCTGAACCAGAAGATGAACAACAAGCCAAGAAACCTCGAACGGAGGAGCTCTGACTAACGGAGGCAGCAGAGAAAGCATGGCAAGATCAAGCAGCCGCTAAGGCAGCAAGAACCGCCGCAACACCAATTGCACCACCAGCGGCAACACCAAATCCGCCATCAACTCCTGCTGCACCTGTGGTCAATACTGCCGTTCTACCGGCAGAGCCGCAGCCAGCATCGGCAAGACCAGAACCGAAGGAAGAGCCTGCCGACGTGGATACGACAAAGGACCTTCCAAGGAAGGCACCTCCACCATCCTTGAAAGATCCAGAGCCGCCTACCGGTCCAAGACCAAAGACACCACCGCCGAGTATTGCGGGCAAGCCTGCGTCAGATTTTCGACCTCCAGCTCAGATCAAGAAAACGCCGGCAGCGCCCAGTCAACCAAGTCAACCCAAGGAACCAGCTTCACCAGAGACACCGCCTGGTGATTCTACCACTTCCAACACCACACAAGGCAATGCCACGCAACCAAGATCCGACAGCAGCTGACGACCAGATATGCCCAGTCGCACAGCACCGTCACCACCGCAAACAACTCCAACACGCTGGCTACAGGCGCCAAAGGTGCTGGGACCTTCCGAGCAACAGAAGACAAGGGAACAGCCACAGCCCAGGCGCACACCTTTCGGACCAGCGCCGAGGCGGAGTCTCACTCCGATAAGGAGAGCTACTCAGCGAATTCCCAGGGAATCTCAGTCCCAGAACGCCGCTATAGCGGAAGGGCCAATTAAGTTTAGAGATGACCCGGAGTCAGCGCAGATTTTGTACAATGTGATGTGGCTCTTTGCCACGAACAAGTTGGAAGCGCAAAAAACGACTGCAAGGACCCTGATCTTGCCCGTCTCAACAAGACGTTATCATACTACATGAGACACGACCTCGGCGCCCTCGACATTCGATCCCTGCTATCAATTCCAAACGTCAAGACACGAATCAATGGTATCAGTTACCACAAGCGGGACGTCTTCGGTACCATTCCTGAGTCCGCTCTACCCGGCAGTCAGGAGAAATGAAGGTATGTGGCACGCAGCCAAGACCATTTTAGGTCTGTGTATTTATGACAATAAGTCCCGTTGGTCCTTTGCATTCGTTCCGCAAGGCCGGGGAGTGCAAAATTCTGAACCACTCCCAGCAGACTGGCACACCCTAGGCGGTGAATCCAGACAGGGCAAATATCCGGATCTTGGTACTCCTACAACAGCCCGGGTTTCAAATTTCTTTATGAGGGCGAACCAAGGATACGGCGACCGTTTTAGCGGTTACGAAAAGGAGACCCTGACCAAGATCGACTGGACTGAATTTGCTGATGACTCTTTTTGCGTTCGCGCAACATTTTTCCGAGCATGGTTTGGTATTAAGGAATGAGGAACATGGCATAATCCCTGGTGGGCAGGAAAGCCGTCGAGCTCACACACATCTCATCCCAAGCTCTAGCTTGATGAGGAAGCCGCACTTGGCCCGGAGGAACTCTGATGTTCTGATTTTCTTCAACATGGCTGATTTACAGCGCGCCGCCAACGTTCGAGGAATGAAATTTTTCATGTCGACTAACGGCTATATTTTGACGAAACATGTCCTGTCTCAAGACCTCATGTTTCTAGTCTACGATGTCCGGCGTGATCGGCCGCTCAAGGACCTGCGTCGGGTTTCAATGCCACAAGAACTCGAGGATGCCAGGGTGCCTATTATGACTGGTACCAAGGCGGATTCAATCCCGATCCCGACTACCGGGATGAGCCAGGACCTTTCGAGCCTGCGAGTTGTGGGACGATCTATCGGAAGATGAAAAAGTGTCTGTCCGTAAGGCCAAAGGCAAGTCAAAGGTCAAAGAAGACCCTAGAGAGGGTCAAGTTGAGTAGCAAGTCAGATTGACAGCGGAGCGCTAGATACAAAATTCTGAAGACCTACTCTTCAGACGGCACTCCCGGACAGTGCGACTACTGCCGATCTAACGGCAATGAACCGCCGGCGGTCACTGCGTTTTTCTGTCGCGTGTGTGGTTTGTTTTGTCGCCTGCGTTGTCGGGAAGCCGGCAAGTTCAAGGGATGCGACTGCGGACTAAGGTTTCTTCAGTGTTCCGCAGACTTGCTGGACCCGTCCTTGAAGGTAAGCGTTCTAATGCGAACCGAAATCAACGAACAGGAGGTCCAGGAAGAAGTTTTTAAATGCAACTTCCTCTACGGAAGTGGAACCCAAGACGCTTCCAACCGGCGGAGGAAGAAGATGGCCGAACTAATCGACGACGTCGAGCGAGGCATCTCTTCCGGCAGCACAGTCCTTGACTATCTAATTAGGAATGGTCTGGATAGGCTCAAGGCAAAAGAAGCGGTTTTTAGGCCGCAGTGCGGTGTCAACGCGTGTCCAACTATGGTCGAGATGTACGAGAACCAAGCACCAGAAGTTGGAGCCGCGCATTTGCCGATCTATCGACCCACTGGTCTTTTCCGTCTGAATGCAAATTCGGACCTCGGCCAGATTATGTGAAATAATCTCATGAACAAAAGAACGCATTCCTATCCAACAAGACCTGGCAGTCAGCCCCTACGGCTTCTGCGAATATGCGTTCAACAGCAGGACTAAACATCGGAGTTTTTAACTTCGGTGATTTAGGCAGATCAGGTGGAATGGGCCGTTGCAAACTGCCGAAGAACACTCCTGCATCGACCGAACTATCGGCCCCTCCAGGTATGATTTTCCGCAACCCGTGTCACGTCATGATCGTTCAGGAGGCGGCAGGTTTAAGCGTAGACGAGCACATGCAAGAAGCCATTGAGGGCAAAACCAAAGGAGTGGTCGTCCATTCCACCAAGGGTGCTCCCGCTCTAGCGGTACTCTGCCGAGGTGATGAAACCACCTATCTCGAGGTCATTGAGCACTACCAGTCCGTTCACAAGAAGAAGAGTGGTGCTTCTCAGGAGAAGCCACGGTGGCTCATTCATGCAATTTTTGTTCGAATTTGTTGACTACCGGAGAACGAATGACGACCAAAGAGGTAGATGCAACAGTTGAAACAGTGCTTGATGCTGAAGTCAACCTTCCCGACATGGATAGTTCCAATCGCGGTTTCATGCCCCTCTGGTCCTCGGTCATGCACTCTATGCATATCGAACCTGGGTGGAATCAAGAGTCCGACCCGATCGTTGAGATCGACGAGACCGTATTCAAGAACACGGACACAACCAATAGGCCTCCGCCGGAGTTTCACCTTCCTCTGAGACACGATCTAACGCGTCTAGACAGCAACGAACTCCGGGTGTGTAATTTCCATATCAACAGCAAGATGTTGCACAAAGAAAATGGAGGCTACGATCTAGTACGGTCGGACTTCACCTCAGTTGCGTATGCCGCTCTAGCGTCAGAGGTGGACATCCTTGCTGGCGACGGCAATTTAGCTGCCCAGCGAAATTTCACAGGCCAGACCGACGCCGATTTCACGACGAGCCTGTGTACCGAAGTCGTCGAAGCCGTTCTAACGGCAGTGAACAATTTGAGAGAGCTGGAATATCGAATCAGCTACAATCAACATCCGTGCAGAAGAATGGTATCGGTCCGGTAAGCACGAACCACTCGTGGTTACAGCCCGCAACTACATGCAGAGAAACTCATGCACCCGTTCAAAGACAGGGATGCAGCAGCGTGCGGGCAGGAATCGAACAGATACCTCACTCACGAGGCTGACCTACCGGCCAAGCCAGTGCTCAGGAACGTTCCAGATCGGAACGCGGTCGGTCACATCCTGCCGGATCACGATGGACTCGCAAAGACGATCCCCGTGACGCTCACTAAGAGCCAGGCGACAATGTTCATTCAATTTTCGGCACTTGCATTTTCGTTCGATTCAGAGAGTGACATGCTCTGACCGCTCTAGTGGTCGATTCGTTTCGTTCCGCAAGATCATGTGTACAGATGCCTCATGCTCCTTTCGTTGTACATAGTACTGACTGATCGGCATGCTACAAAGCAAAGAAAATTTATGTCTGTTTTTGTTTCCGGTTTTTGGGCCCCCATTCGCTGTTGCTTCATGATGGTTCTAGCTATGTGTGCTCTTACGCAATGCATATGAACCGGCCATTACATTTGGCTCAAGGTACATCTTGTGCGATACAAAAAGCCGCAGCTCGCCTTCGCTCGCACGCTCTTTGTGGGATTGCTACGTTGTAAGCTAGATCCAGGTCGATACTGAGGACTGTACGCTCCACTGTGGGGGATTCCACCCTCACCCCCCCCTCGGCTGACCCCTCCCTTTAATTGAAAGAATCAATTAGTTCACTGAACCTTTCAATTTTGAGCCTCACCATATTTCGTAAACAGCAACTTCCGCTGAGCTCCTTCTGAGCTCGCTTTCGTGACAACACAAAATGCCTGAAGAATGAGCATTTTACAAAATCCTGACGGCAAAGTTTACAGAAATGTACACATGAGTGAAGCATGTGTGTCACGAGTTTTTCGACTTTCTTGAAACAGGTGGAAGCACCCGCTGACGGCCACTGGTACCGGGATCTCATTGGCAAACATTTCCTGGGCAGGGAAATCAATGCAACAAAACCAGCCTATTGGGAACTGCGTGTTTGAGATGTTTATATAATGCTTATGATGTGGAATGCTGAGATTTAGCTCGATCTGGGCAAGTGATTCAAATAACAGCCTTTCATGAGTTCGACACTTGGGAAGGGCTACTGAACACTGAAAAAACCAACAGTGTGGCCTAAAACTTGTCATTGTTCAATCATGGAACTTGAACGATTCCTTCAACAATGAATCTGGCCGAGCAAGACAATGCCTCGGAAACCCAAACGCTCTGGTGTAAAGGCGGGTGCCAATTCCTTGCACAACAGCCTGTTGGTATATCTAAAGATTTTAAGCTGATTCAAATTCCAGTCACCTGAGCAGTCGAAGACAACAAAACCATGGGAATGAAACCTGAGAATAGGAAGCGCTCTCCGCGACACATCCTATGAACATGTGCCTGTTATGTACTGGCCGAAGATACAATACCCTCAGAACTGCCGACATGCCGTGCTAAATCGTGGGAGTCGAGTCGAGGTGAATTTTTGGGGGAGGGTCTGCGTGCATGCAGCATTCACAAAAAAAATGACTGTCCAAAACAAAACTGCATGCATGCACGCATGCACTCTTGACCAAGGACCCAATTGAAAGACACTTACTGCGCCGAACATCCCGTGTGCCTGAGACATGCCTCGTGGGTGCAGTCGACTTCGGTCGAAGAAGAGCTCAGCTGTGTTGCCCCTCAATTGCCACAGCTGCGATTAGCTCTACATTTTGCAGAACCTCAAAATTGTTCCTAACAGATGTCGTCATGACATATCGTCGTGGTGCTCACTGCAATGCAGGTTAGATGTCCAAGAGCCCAAACGTCAACCACCCTGCAGAGTCGTAGCTCTCGAAGCGGGCAACCACAGCCTGCGCCCAAGTGTCGGACCCGTCTGGCCAGGCAACATCTCCAGATCTTTTATTTACAGTACGTCTGCATTTGTGGGTCACAAAAGCGTAAACAAACATGTCAAAAGTCTCACGAGTGCCTCTGGCCCGAGCCGCAAATGGAGCACCTCAGGACCCGGGCAAACATATTTGCTGCAAATTCGCTGCAGCAAAAGAATAACACATTCCAACGGAAAGCTAGCTTGGTTTCCAAGCATTGTTAGTCACCCAACGGCAAGCTGCCCCATTACCACCGACTGCCTCCTGAGAGTTGCCAGAAACGCTGCAGTTTATCAATGTGCCCTTTGTCTCCATTGTGCAAAAATGCAGCAGCGGCCTTGGAGATCGTCGTTGCACCCGAACTATGAGGCACTTGGTACGACCATGCGCTCTCTTGCAGCCCACGCGAGCAACAAATCTCCTGTGAGGTGGCCCACAAAAGGTGGCTGCAGTAGAAGTCCTGAAGATCGAGAAACGTGCTTTGCAACTGCATTGAAAGGAACTGCTTCATTGCAAAGGTGCAGTACCTTTCTTATCATTTTCCGGAGTAAATGTCCTTTTGCCTCAACTAAATGATGAACTCTCATCCTTTATTTGGAAATACCCTGCCCCAGCTATTCATTTCTGCGGTCTGCGCAATTCGCCAAACCCATTCACATCCATTCACTGTACGCTCAAGTGCAGGTGCATTGCTCAAACGAGTAGTGGAGCACATGTTTCATGACAAAGTTGCCCTTCAAAAAGTGAAGTCTGTAGAGTAGAGTCTCTAGTGTCTCTCGAGTCAGAATAAAATGGTCCTGATGAAGACTGATGCCTTGAGGGGGCTCCACCATGAAATCAAACTGGATAATAATTATGCCTGCAACGCAGCACGAACATGCTCTCCTATTAACACAAAATGGGAAGCGGGAGCTCTGATGTTCAGTTTCAGAGAGTGGTTTAATTGAAAAAACAGCGCGAGATCCAACGACATTGAGTTCAACTTGACTGGTCGCTAACACTCTCAACTTCGAGTTCGTAAAACTGTAAATTACGTCCAAAAACCAGTGTCTTCCCGCCTCCAGAGAAAAGTGCAAACACTGGCATGGGCCTTGCAGCCTTGTGTTTCACACTTCCGTCAAAAGCAACCGAAGCGAACAAACTCTGTCAGCAATGGTGGAAACAAAACTCTGTCCGAACATAGTCTACCAATGGTGTGCTAGAACAACGAAACTGATCTGACCCTGGGACCTGCGTGCAAATACTTTGCGCTGGTGCATTCGGCCCACTTTTCTGCACTTTTCTGCCTGGGAAACCAAGGACTCAAGGGAAACCGAGAGAACAAGAAAATACAATTGTGGACTAGTAAGGACTAGTGACTAGTGATTCCAAAGGACTATGGGCTTATCACCGGACTGCCTCGTCTTTGCACGTTGTCAGGTTTATAATTCTTGGCACAAGAGCCCCAAAAAGTCTGAGCTCTGGCACTAGTTGTTGCTTTTTGTTGTACCAGTAGCAGCATTCCTCAAGTCCCTGGCCACAATGGTACTGATCAGGAGTTGCACGAGTTTGAGCAGGCCTCAAGGATCTCAGAACCCCAACATGGCAGGACTCAAACGTTTGTTTGCTTGCTTGCTCGTTCGTGTGTTCATGTTTGTTTTGCCTGGAAGAGCGTTGAGCATTGCCTCCTGGGCGCCCGACACTTCGAAAGGATAGTCGCAAGCGTCTACCAAGTGACAATGCGCGGTGCAAGTCCTGGGCAAACAGCTTACAGTACTACAAAGCACTGCTTCACATCCGATGATGTACCACACACACACGCCGTGTCTCTGTGCCGCATGCCGCATGCCTCTCAACATCACAAGTCAAGAACCACATGCCTTTTGTCATTTCTTGAATCTCCCGATGTAGTCTGGTTGGGCATCTGGCAATGTGTTCGCTTGAGTGCATCGCTTGCCACCTGACAAACATACTTTTCTTGGTCACTTGTTTTTGAGGTACTGTAGACTGTAGACTGCAAACCTGAAAATTCTTTCAGCCCGCCGGTCCACTTGCAGCCAATTGCTAAATCAACGCCACCCTTATCGAC